AAAAGTAACATGGGCGATCGTTCGCCGACCGACACAGGTACGTACAGCATGACTGGCGGTAACGCGAGAGCGCGGTGGAGGGTGGTGACGGTAGTGAGGAGGGAGAGAGAGAGAGAGAGAGAGAGAGAGAGGGAGGAGGAGAAGAGCCAGAAGAGAGAAGGAGAGGAGAGGAGAGAAAGAGAAGAGGGAGAGCTGAGAGAGAGGAAAAGGGGAGAGAGTGAGGAGAGAGAGAGCAGAGAAGGAGAGAGAGAGAGATGAGATGAGAGAGTTGAGAGTTGAGAGTCGAGAGTGAGAGGAGAGAACGATGCGATGAGAGGGAGAGAGAGATGAGAGCATGAGTAGAGGAGAGGATGAGGACGAGAGAGAGAGAGAGAAAAGAGAAGAGAGATGAGAGAGTGAGAGAGAGAGAGAGAGAGAGAGCGTGAGAGAGAGGAGAGAGGAGAAGAGAGAGAGAGACGAGAGAAAGAGGAGAGAGCGAGGAGAGAAGAGAAGGAAGAGAGGAGAGAGAGAGAGAGAGAGAGAGAAGAGAGAAGAGAGATGAGAGAGAGACGAGACGAGACGCGAGAGGAGATGATAGCAGAGAGAGAGAGCATGAGAGAGGATGAGATAGAGTAGAGAGAGAGAGAGAGAGAGAGAGAGAAGAGGAAAGATTCCTGAGAAACGACTCGAGAAAGAGAAAGAGAAGAGAGCGTTCTTACGGAGAGAGAGAGTAGGCGCTGACATTTGACATATATTATGCAAAGAGCAGTTCTGCCAAAGCTGCCTGCTGCATCGTGTGCGCTTGGTAAAACATTCGTCTTTATGTGCCGGGTTAGCTGTGAAGCTTACTGGTAGCAGGTTTTCGTAATGAGCTTATTAGACTGAACGCACGATATATATTGCTCCTCTTTCTACATCTTGCTGTCTCACTCTCTCTTTCTCTCTCTCTCGCTCTCTCTTTCTCTCTCTCTCGCTCTCTCTCTCTTTCTCTCGTGCACGTGCGCTTCGTTTTTCTCTCCGTTTTTTGTTAAGCCAAGAAAGTGAAACGTGCGTGTTTAAATAGTCTTAGAAAAACATGCGGAAATCATCAGCTGATCATGCTTGCACTCAGTGTAAACACGGGTAAAACAGGTTTGCACTCCTATATCCGCCCGACGACGGAGGCAGAGCGGCGGGGAGGAGGGAAGGGAGAGAGGTGCTGCTCCATCACAAGTGCCGTCTGCACCATGGTTACCACGGTTACCATGATTACCACCTGCACACGGCTCTTCTACTCCTGCCGCCACTCGCGGCAACCGAAATACGAACAACCGAACGGAACGTGTAAAGAGAGAAAACGACGAAAACGTGAAGAAAATAGCGAATCTGCAGCTTAAAATGGTCGATCATGCGATGTCGCCAGGATGTCAGATACACATGTATGAGTAGTCAATCTTTCATTTCCCTTGCCCCTCCCTAACACCACAACATCTTCCCTCTATCCCCCCACACCACCACAAGTAACAGCCCTCTCACTCACCCCACCCTACAAAGTCGCTACCTCCCACACCACCCTACGACATGACCTCTGTACCTGCCTCCTCCTTCATCCCACCCAACCCAGCACACCAATACAACAGCCCTTTTACTGCACTGCTCCTACCTCCCATCCCTCCTTGCCCCAGCCTACAACATGACCTCTGTACCTGCCTCCTCCCTCACACCACACACCCCCGGAACGCCACTACAACGCCTCTGTAAATGACTGCTCAATGCTTTTTGGAATTACCCGGGATAATACAGGGTGCCACTAACCTAGTTCTCATCCAGCCATCCTCAGCCTCACCCCCCACCCCCCTCCCTGCACGCGACGCCGACTACTACAATGCGCTTGCGAAAACAACGAATGGCGCCGCATGAAGCATTTTCGCGCGATGAGCACGGTATTTCAAGGTCGCGGTGACTTAACGGCGACGCGCTCCGATCACAACAATGCTTGCGCTAGCATCCCCCGATGATGCGCACCCCCCCCCCCTGCCCCTGTGTGTGCATCTGCAGGAAAGCTGATGCAGCAACCGATAGAGTGATCCAGGAAGTGCATGGTGCGCTTAGCACTGAGTACATATCTTTCTTTCTCCTCTCTCTCTCTCTCTCTACTCTCGCTCTCTCTCTATCTCTCTTCTCTCGCTCTCTCTTCTCTCCCTCTCTCTCGCTCTCTCTACCTCTCTCTCCCTCTCTCTCTCTCTCTCTCCTCTCCTCCCCCCTCACTTTGTTTTTTCTCTCTCCCTCCTTTTCCTCTCACACTTGTTTTCTCTCTCTCACACTTTGTCTCGCTCTCTCTCTTCTTCTTCTTCTTCTCTCTCTTCCTCTCTCCCTCCTTTTCCCCTCTCACTCTCTCTCTCGCACTCTCTCTTCTTCTCTTTCCCTCCTTTTCCCCTCTCATACTCTCTCGCACTCTCTCTCTTGCACTCTCTCTCTCTCTCTCTCTCTCATACAGTTCTTACACAGCATTCCATTAGCACCTGCATATCAGCTACCAGTATCTGGAATGACTACTAGGTGCACTCAGACCAAGTCTGCCCAGCCAAACCTGTGTTAGCTAGTTCCTCTATAAAATGGACCCTTGTGGTGATCCTTTCAGTGGCAGATATACAGCGAAACCACCTCCATAGAACGCACAACTGACTGTCCTATTTCCAACTAACTACCTCTCGAAAGGACCCCTCGGCATTTCACTTTAGTCAACAAAGAGATCACCTCTATAAAACGGACACCTGTCTATAAAGGACACGTCTGGCATTTCCTTCACGCGACTCATGCATACAGGACTTTATTCTCGCTCGAGAACTTACCCTAGAACAACGTTCTTGTCCTGGATTGTCCTGCGCTGTAATTCGGAAAACTCTAGCTTCTGCTGGTCGGCAAACTCACTGTAAGAAGACAAGTCGCGCCATCGATGATCACACGTGTAACCCACGGTTACCCACCCAGTGCTCAATTTTAACAGTCGTCCGGTCGTCCGTGACGACTGGATTTTCTCTCGGGCAACTACAAATTGCTTCCGTGGTTGTCCGGTGTCCAACCTCTAAATTAATTTTAAAATTTTTCTTTTTTTAATTTGTTAATTTTTAATTTTTGCTCATCTGTGACTTGACACAGTGTTAATGTAAATGTTATGAAATAAATTTCATGCAACTTTTAATTAATATTATTATACGTCATTGATCCCAGCATCATTTACCACATTACCAATATTTTATTCTCTTCATATAATGAGTGAAACAATGCGAATGGCCATGTCTGCTGTCACTGCAATACGTACAAAATGTACATGTTGGCCTTTAGCTTTACAGCACTGAGCATCACGTGAGCAGAGCGCATGCAGCACATGTTTAAATAATATCCGGACAACCAAAATTCTTGAGGGACAAGTTCAACCATATGCTACTCTCTTGGTTGTCTTCCGGACAACCAAAAAAAAACCTTAAAATTGAGCACTGCCCACCTCTTACATCACATTACACTGCTTCTTACAGCAGCAGTAATGACAGGCATGCCGTGATAACGCCTAGAAATATCAAAGCCTGCAAAAGCCTGAGAAGAAGTATCGAAATATATTGTGATATATAAGTATCGAAATATCGCTCAGACTACCTAACCTCGCTACAGGCTTAATCCTAATTCATGACCTCGGATTTTGACAATGGGATTGGATTATTATGATTAGGATTGGGGTTAGGGTTAGGTTTGGGGGTTAGACGACAATGATTATTTATGTACGAGGGTCCCGAATTAGGTCCGACTCAGGATTACTAGCCTACGAGTTAAAGTGGCACAATAGTAGTACCAACCTATGAATTATAATGGGACACTACAAGGCTGAGAATTAAAGGGAGGCACTGGTACAGCCTACACATAAATTACAGCCCTATATCGCACGTGTGTGCTGTACGCTTCAACCTACATACATCACACATTCGCACCGCGTTAACGTTATTGCTAGCTCTAGAACTATAGCCCTTCGCTCTGCCACAGGTGTGTCCCTGCCTGTGGCAGAGCGATGGGCTTAATTCTAGAGCTAGGTTATTGCTTTGTGGATGCAGCGACCCCAGACATCGGTCTGACAGCGGGCGTGTGTATCGCGTGTGTAACCGGCAGCGACACCTCTATATCGTGCATGCCTCTCTCACTCACCGAATTCGCTTCTCCATTTCCAGCTGCTTCTGCCGCAGGAACTTCGTCGACTTGCCGTTGATGAGTTGGAGCTCATGTTGCCTCTCTAGGCTAGCATCCTGGCGAGCGAATGGCATTCCTGCGAGGAGAAGGAAGAAAAAAGCGTATTCCGTGAACGTCACGTGATGCGAGTACGAAACACGATCTATCGTGGGGATGCAAGTGATGCGATCGAAAGTTTAATATCGCGACATAGAAACAGATAGAAACGAAACCTAATGCGCGCACGCACACACGTAATGTTCTAATATGAAACGCGGCACGCACGCACATATGAAACCTCACGCGCGCACGCACATATGCACGTACGCGTATGTGGCAGAGAGGAAATGAACGCCGAAGAGGCACATGCCATCTGCATGAGTCACTCTCGCACCTGGATGCTCTGCTGTCTTGCTGTGACCAAGAGACGTGCAGGGCACGACGGCGACAGCACGGAAAGACGACGAAAGAACGCGCGCGAAACGATGGTGCCACCGACGACGACGGGGAAAATTCTATTGCTGACTCCACGCGACACTCCGTCCTCACTGTTCTACGCAGCTTGCCTGTGTGTGCGAGTGGAGTGTTTGCCCGTGTGTGTCCATGCGCTTATCAGCACAGTGCGTAGTGCGTCACCCACCCCCGTGTAAAAATACTCACATTTCCTGCGTGCGTGTGTGTCGCAACTTGTCTCTCTCTCTCTCTATCTATCGTGGGCAGCGCAGCTATCTATCTAAAATTCTAACTAAACCAGCCCACCGCGACCGCAGCACTGCTCGTCCGTCCGTACGCACACGTGCGCGCAGCCCCCAGCAACCACTTCCTGACAGGACCCTCGCTTGTGCAGCCGATCGCACACACAAAAACTCCTACGATGCACGAGGACTTCTTACAACGTGTACGTAACTGCTGGGGTGTGCGACCGAGTGCCCGCGTTTATGCAGCCGAATGCACACACACACAAATCCGTTACGACGACCAATGCACGGAAACTTCCTCCCTACAGTACACCGTGTCGTATTAACTGCCGGGGTGTGAGTACGGGCCGTGGTGGTAACTCGACCGGAGACAAGCTGACAGCTAGCTAACAGGTTCCCTGGTGGAGAAGCGAGTGCCGAGAGAGAGAGGGGAGTGCGGGACACGGCAGCCAGCAGCAGAAAAACATCCTGTTTGGTGGGGGGAGGCGGACGGACGGATAGGGGGAGTAACGGGTGTCACGAGACAGCAGTATCTAACAGCAAACACGCACAGACACGCAGGCGGGAGGGGTGGTGGGGTGATGATAGTATCAGCAGTAGATAAGAGGGAATTCCCTATTATCTACTCCTGATAGTATAGTAACTGTTATCCCCGTGTAAGAACAACAAAGACTGTAATGCAGAAATATGTGTTACAATTTTAAAATGTTAATCAAACTTAGGGAAATTCTAATAGTCTTTGTCTAAACGGCGCACGTGGGCCCCACACACGCTTATGACGTGGCAGCCAATGAGAGACACAGAGGAGCAGTATTGGTCAAGGCTTTGTCTACCGTTGAGCACAGAGATGGGACGGGCCAGCCAATGAGAGCCGTCGAGGTGCCCCGCGGGACTAGAACGTGAGACAATGGAAAGGACGCGCGTATTTAACAGGCAGACGCCTTTGTGCACTCTCTCCTCCGTCTCTCTCATTGGCTGCCACGTCATAAGCGTGTGTGGGGCCCACGTGCGCCGTTTAGACAAAGAC